CAAGGATCAGTTTCCTCCTGCATGACACCTGCTGGTGATCCAGCCTGACCAGTACTGGTACCTGCGACCTCTCAGTGCATGGGGTCAATGCTCAACCAACTGAGAGATATCAGCCAGGACTGTAGATCACTTTAATTCAGGGAATCATGGTCAGGATGATAATGTAGTAATAGCTCAGAAGGGACAGTGTGAGCCTACGGATTGGTTTTAATGCTGGGGCCCCTGTTTGTGGAAGGCGGATGTCACAACACAGCATAGGGACAGAAGTTGTCATGTAGAGTTCGGGGATAATGGTTTTGCAGTGGCCAAGGCCTTTAAAAGATGAGTGGATGTGAGATGAACTGGAGGCAGAACAATAATTCAAATGAGATGAAACTAGGGCTGGTACATATTAACTTCTCTAAACACTTACAGGATTTTGTTGTGACCCTTGGTATGGCCTGGCTGTGGGGAGTTACAGTCAGTCTTGTGGATTAGCTTAGCGCAGTGGTTCTCATCCTGTGGGTCGACACCCCTTTTGGGGTTGAACAACCCTTTCACAGGGGTCGCCTAAGACCATCGGAAAACACATATATAATTACATACTGTTTTTGTGATTAATCACTATGCTCTAATTATGTTCAATTTGTAACAATGAAATTGGGGGGTCACCACAACATGAGGAACTGTATTAAAGGGTCGCGGCATTAGGAAGGTTGAGAACCACTGGCTTACAGGCTTGAGTGGTCATCTGTGAGACTCGCTGGGCATGATGCAGAGGGCCATCAGAGCTGGGACTTGAGTGAAGGTTCATGGAGGGATGTTGGCTGTGACTGGTAAAGGGACATCAAGTGCAGCATCAGGGGAGGTGGGCTGTGGATATCTGAGATCTAATTGTGGTTCTTAATAGATGAGGTTGAAGGAAAAAATAGGAAATGAGGCCTTCATAGCAGGACTCAAGGCTGCCTCTATGAGTGTGGATTATCAGTATCTGGGCAAAACTTGGTCCTCTTGGAATTTGGCAAGCAGTCTCTGGACCACACATGCTGAGTAATAAGTAAGAGGGCAAGGAGATGACTTTGGGGGCCGGAAATGTAGGAGTGCAGGTGTGAGAGAGATGTGGTACAATGAGTGATATGCACTTGGAGAGGGAGTGTGAATTCATGGCCAGAGTGCCCTGACATTGACATAAGAGTGAGTTGAAGGGAGAGTCCATATCTGGTGGTGTCTTGATGATAAAATAAGGAAAATTTTAGCTTTTATTGCCTGAAAAGAGGGGTGTTTTGGTGCTACCTGCCAGGTACAGAGATTAGATGCCATTTATGTACCCACCTGCCTTTTGTTGTTGGGGGCAAATACACTGGTTGATAGGAATGAGATAGCATACATCATTGTTACCCATGCTGTAAACTCTCCACTGACATGGGTAAGTGAGAAGGGTAAGAGAGAAATGGATTATGGAGGTGTTAATCTATAATTTTGGAAAATAAGGGAATTAGGAAACAACCCATCCTTGCTGGGACAAATTTGTATTACTTTTGAAGTTGTGCCTCTGGGAATGAAGCTGTGTGAGGTGAGAAGAGTGTTGTTCAAAGAACTATATGCAGCAGGGCGTACATGTGAATCCCAGAGCTCAGTTATCTTCTATCTGTTCAACTGCCTTTATTGTGGGAAGACAAAATATCAGTAGGAATATAAGAAGACAGTGAATTTTATGGGATGAAGGCCTGGTATCTTCTCTGGTGTGTGAAGTTGAGAGAGCTGATAGATATTGAGGGTGGGGAGTATGACAGAGTTCGAATCTTAGGAATGAATCTAATCATGGGCTGTACTGTCCCCATTATGACAGGATATGAACTTTGAGGACGTGGCCATTGTCTTCTCTCAGGAGGAATGGGGGCTCCTTGATGAGCCTCAGAGACTTCTCTACTGCGATGTGATGCTGGATGTTTTTGCACTTGTATCATCTGTAGGTAAGTTCTTCACATTTTCCCAGTGTCTGAGGTGATGTCCTCTCTTCCTTTATTCCTCAGATGTAGCTTTTTCTCTCCTACAGCAGACCATGGGCTCTGCTTATTTCCCCCATTGTCATGTCAAATGTGCTGTGGCTTTCATGGGTGAGATCTAGTCAGAGCCCTGAGTGATAGACTCCACAAACATCCCTAACACTAATTGCCTCAGAAAGGGTAGGATGTGTCTGGGAGTCAGGAGTCTTAGAGACAGCTTAATGGGTCCCACCTGCTGTTCCTCTCCCTTGCAGGGGGACTATATCCAGATCCATGGCTTCCATTTCTACCTCCTTCCTCTAGCCAAAGGTCCTTGGTGACTGCCTGTGCCAGGTTATGGTCTTTACTTACATGAACCTTGAGCTCTTCTTACAAGATCACACCTCAGTTCTTGTTTGTAATATTACCTTCTATAAATACTATTGTAAGCCAGATTGCTCTAGGCCAGTGCTGGATGCTCATCTCTGTGGTCTTTCATTAATACTTGGAATATTTATGTTGTACGTATTTGTAGAGAAGAATGTGCAGGGAGAACCCTGTTTTTTTCAGAGGATGGTCTCAGAAGAGGCCTGGCCCAGCTGAGTTGCAATTGTCGGCTAGATATGATGTAATGGTGGTGTTTAGATGATACCAAGCACCTGCTCATTTCCAACAGTGATTAGATGCAAGTACAGTGGGCAACAGCAGATTTCTACCTTTTCTTTCCCATACTTAGCACTTTGCTGACTTGTCAGTTCATCTGTAACTTCCTGGCTTTTGATTACCTTCACCTTTGTGGCCTTTTTCCATCGCCTGTTCGTCTGGATTGCTCCATCTGCAGTATTCTCCAACATTGACCTGCACATGTGTTATGAGATGCACATACATGCTTAAGTAGTTCTCGAACACCAGCTACTAAGTTATTAAATATTATTTGGAATAAGACAACCATATTTCAGCACAGCTTGCGCATGTCACCAGCAGACAAGCCTTGCTGAACACTGTTAGTAGAAGAATGAGCTGACAGTCCTGCTTCTCTTCCATGTGGTGCTTGCCATGTGTGTGTCATATTTCGTTTGAGGTCTTCCTTGTTTTGTGATCTTCCATAGCCCAGACATTCATGGCAGCATCTTATAAATCCTTCCTACAGATCTTTTATTGTCAGACGGTTGTATGGAACCAACGTGTTATGTGCAATACAGTTTTCTAAAGGAACTTCCATCTGTCACCACAGTATTCATTTCCTCACCATTTTACTATTTTCAGGTTGTTGGCATAAAATGGATGATGAGGAGGCCAGTTGTGAGCAGAGTGAATATGTACCAGGAAAGTCACAAGTCAGGGCTTTTAAGACAGCTCCAGCAACCCAGAAGACCCATCTTTGTAAGTGCTGTTTCTCAGTGTTAAAAGATATTTTGAACCTGACTGAGTTACAAGCAGCATACTTTGAGCAGAAAGCCTTCTTCACTGACACATGTGCAAGAGACTTCAGTTTCAGTGCAAACCCTCACCAGCAACAGAGAGATGCCAGTGGAGAGAAGCCCTGGAAAGAAGATATGGACAGGGCCTCATTTGTGTCCCAGTGCAGCTTTTACTTAACATGGCTGCCTTCAACCATTAGGGAGGTTGGGGAAGACTTGCCAGCCTTCTCAGACATTCTCCAGCACCAGGCCACTTTTACCACTGGGGAGCTACACAGTGGTAGTGAGATTCCACAGGAATTTCTCAGTGGAAGAAGTCATGACGAGTGGGGAGAATGTAAAAAAGCTGCCAGCCACAATCAGAAAGTTGTTCAACATCAGGGTGTCTGCTCCAGAGAAGTGAATTGTGAGTGTAACAACTGTGGGAAAGCTTTTAGAGAAATCTTTAACCTCATTCGTCATAGGAGAGTTCACAGTGCAGAAAAGCCATATGAGTGTAGTGATCGTGGGAAGTTCATCCTAAAGTCCAAACTCATTCAACGACACAAAGGCCACACTGGAGAAAGGCTATACGAGTGTCATGATTGCAGGAAGTCCTTCAATCAAAGCAGTACCATTGCTCAACACCAGAGAATTCACACTAGAGAAAAACCTTATGAGTGTAGTGAATGTGGGAAATCTTTTACCCGCAATAATAACCTCCTTATCCACAAGAGAGTTCACACTGGTGCAAAACCTTATGAGTGTAGTGAATGTGGGAAATCTTTTACCCGCAATAATAACCTCCTTATCCACAAGAGAGTTCACACTGGTGTAAAGCCATATAAGTGTAGTGACTGTGGGAAGTCATTTACACACAGTTATACCCTCATTCAACACCACAGAGTTCACAATGGAGGAAATCTGTATGAGTGTAGCGATTGTGGGAAGTCCTTCAAAAAAAGGTCTAACTTCAATGAACACAGCAGAGTCCACACTGGAGAAAAGCCCTATGAGTGTTCTGATTGTGGGAAGACCTTCAGTAAAAGCAGTAACCTCACTCGACACAAGAGAGTTCACAGTGGTAAACCTTATGAGTGTAGTGAATGTGGGAAATGTTTTACCTGCAGTAATCACCTTCTTATCCACAAGACAGTTCACACTGGAGAAAAGCCATATGAGTGTCGTAAATGTCGGAAGTCCTTTAGGCATAGCAGTACCCTCACTCAACATCAGAGAGTTCATAGTGGAGGAAAGCCCTATGAGTGTTCTGATTGTGGGAAGTCCTTCAGTAAAAGCAGTAACCTCACTCGACACCAGAGTATTCACAGTGGTGCAAAACCTTATGAGTGTAGTGAATGTGGGAAATCTTTTACCCGCAATAATAGCCTCCTTATCCACAAGAGAGTTCACACTGGTGTAAAGCCATATAAGTGTAGTGACTGTGGGAAGTCATTTACACACAGTGATATCCTCATTCAACACCACAAAGTTCATAATGGAGAAAATCCGTACGAGTGTAGCAATTGTGGGATGGCCTTCCAAAGAAGGTCTAACCTCAATGAACACAACAGAGTCCACACTGGAGAAAAGCCCTATGAGTGTTCTGATTGTGGGAAGTCCTTCAGTAAAAGCAGTAACCTCACTCGACACAAGGGAGTTCACAGTGGTGAAAAACCTTATGAGTGTAGTGAATGTGGGAAATGTTTTAGTCAGAAATATAGCCTGGTTAGACACGTAAGCCTTCACACTGCAGAAAAAGCCTCCAATATGCAGGGAATGACATATTTTCTCTCTCAGTTTTACAACACTGAAGGAGATTCCTACAGACCCATTTAGCTGATATTAGACCCCTTTTTATCAGAACATACACTATACTAGATTCCTCCTAAGTTTCAGCTATAAGTGAGCCTTTAAAGTGTTGCATTGCACTTGCTATCCTACCCAGGCCTACTACCTAATTGATGTCACTGTGAGTATATGTGGCTGAAAGTAATTCACTTTTACCACCTGGTTCACCTGAACAGTGTGTGCCTCTGGGGGGAAGTCATTTATTTAGTTCTCTACCCTCATTCAACATCAGAACATTCATGCTGGAGAAAAGCTATGTGTGTGTACTGATTGTGGGAACTCCTGTGTGCTCAGAAAAATGAATTCTGTATTCTTACTTCTGTTTGAGGTCATGATGAGAATTCCGAGGTTTTAGGATCATCACTCCTTTGTCTCTAAGGAATGGACCTAACCATTGTTTCCCCCAGAACACCATCCTAAGATGCACTATGCCAGTGGTTCTCAACCTTCCTAATGCTGCAACCCTTTAATATAGTTCCTCATGTTGTGGTGACCCCCAATTTCATTGTTACAAATTGAACATAATTAAAGCATAGTGATTAACCACAAAAACAATATGTAATTATATATGTGTTTTCCGATGGTCCTAGGCAACTCCTGTGAAAGGGTCGTTCGACCCCCAAAGGGGTCGCAACCCACAGGTTGAGAATCGGTACGCTATGCCTTTCTGGTACATTGTGCTTCTCACATTGTGCTGTGATGAATTTTTTCAGGCAGTTATTCACCAACATGCAAACCACTTGCTGTATATGGCTCTGGTTTATGATCTTTTTCTAAAGGTGCTTTTTGCATTTGTAACTTTAATTTATTGGTTCTATTCTCTGCCTGGGGTGAATTGAAAGCACACTTGTGATCTGTCAGCAGGTAGAGGTGAAGAGATATTGTGGGGATCCCAACCTTTCATTACTTCTGAAGGGACATCATGATGGCAGAAAATCACTCTTTGGCCATTATTTGCTTATTTTCCATTTCTGCCCAAAGTCTTAAAAGCAAGACTGCAGAACTTTATGGTTCTATATTGCAGCCTGGTACCTCTATTAATGGTGAAGTCAAAGTTCACTTTGTTGTGCTTCTGTGAACAATATGAATTATATTCTCCATTCACAGTGTGTATGACATAAGTCTCAGCAATAATCTGTATATCATGATGTACTAAATTTCATAAACTGGTGTCATTTGTAGTAAGAATCTGAGAATTAGGTGCAACCACAATTAGAACAGAAGCACTGCTTCAATCAATAGCAATTGAGAGAGACTGCAGTAAATTGGTTAAAAAAACGCCTCTTTTGAATGTTTTCCACAAATTTTCCAGGGCCTGTGACTTGTGGGATGTTTGTGTACAGACATTCTCAGAACCTGCATAACTTTCTTGTGGCTGAAGTCATTGGTAGAGCAAATAATCTTGTGGTGGTGGTGTTTCTGCTGGCCCCTCTAGGGTGTTCACTTCAAGGTTTATGCTCAATAGACAGGATCTAAAAGGTAGAGGAAGGATAATCTTGTAGTCAATCCTAAGTTGTATATTTTGTAACCAGTCAGCATCCCTGTTGATTCTGCTGGCAAAAGTCTTTACTGCTTGCTGATATTTGCTGCCACTGAGGCAAAGCTATTCCTCCTACAATATGAGAACTGACATGCAAAAACTGCAGTTTTCTTACGTGTTCTATTTGGTGAACTTTGATGTACATATAAAGCTGTGAAACTGTTGCACACGAAACAAACTTATCTATCAACATTATACACAGTGGAGCAAAAATAGGTTACAGGTGTGAGCACCCAAAATAGAGAGTTTATTTTTAAAACATTTTTATTGATTCTTTTCAGGAGATAGGAAGGGAGGGAGAAAGAGAAACATATGTATGAGAGAGATTTGCTACCTTCTGCACACCCCCTACCGGGGTTCAAGGATCTGAAATGGATCTAGTGAACTTGAAGGGTCAGAGATAATGCCCAACCAACTGAGAACACTGGTGAGGTCACAGTATGTTCTTGTATTATTATTATTTTGTGCCATACCAACAGCTCTAAACCTGATTTTCACACACCCCATATTTGCCTCTTGCCCTTTTATAATCTCTCTGCCTTCCCCAGCCCTCCATAGAGGCATTGATTTTCCTTCCATTACAACATATTAGCTCATATTTTTCATACTTTTAAAGGCACTAGAAGGTGTGTACTCTTTAACAAATATTGGTCTCCTTCATGCTACACTGTTACTTTGAGATTCAACACTAATGCTGATGTGAATAGTTAATTATTTTATTGCTGCGTAGTATTGTGTTCTGTGAATTACCACTTTATCTATTGATCTATGATTTTGGTTAATTCCATGTTTGGGGTATTATAAATAAATCTGTTGGGAATATTTGTGTTCACTTCTCTATATAGATATTTTTTACTTATCAAACTGTTGATGTGTAGGTGAATGTTTCACATTGTAATATATGTGGAACTGTGATCTAAAATGGCCATTCCCTTTGCCTTCACACCTACCCACCCACAGTATTGAAAATTCCAGTACTTCTGCAACCATGTCAGCACATGCCCCGGTTAATCTTTTTAAATACTAACACCGTAAATGAGTAGAGTATTAACTCACTTTTGTTTTAATTCAATTTACCTAAGAATTTTTGCTGGTGAGCATTTTTTTATACATGTATTTACACTGCCTTTATCATATTCATTAAAATGTCTGCTCAGAATCTTTTACCAATTTTTAAAATGAATTTATTATTCTAACCAATAGGAGAACAGTGCATAATTTAAGACCTGTTTGAAGTTCACTCATCCCTCAGTGTCTCAAGTGACTTCTTTGCTCTATGCAACCATAGGTTTTGAATATTGGAATGGAAATTTTTTTCACAATTTTATTCTATGTACAATTTAAACTCACTTGTACCATATACTTACAGGTTTAATTTGCATTGTTAACATTCTACAACACTTTTTTAAGTCTAAGCATCCAGTCATACATTAAGTGAAGAGTCTAAGTTCTAATCTTTATTAATTTTCCTATTGTAAATACCGTTATCATGGTTAGTTTCAGTCTGCTAAAATGATGGCACTGAACATGGACATGAAAATATATTTCAGTAGCAAATCGTTATATTTTATTTCCAACTTACTGACACAGTAGGTACAAATATGCTCAAGAACATTCATAATAAAATGGTAAATAATAAGGAAGTGGCTAGTCTTAAACTTTAAGTATAATTGTTTTAAAACATACATTAAAATATATATGTATATTTTAAAATATATTTTTATTGCTTTCACAGAGGAAGGGAGAGGGAGAGAGAGATAGAAACATCCATGATGAGAGGGAATCATGGATCGGCTGCCTCCTGCATGCCCCCCACTGGGGATGGAGACCACAACGAGGGCCTGTGCCCTGACCGGGAACTGGACCTCCTGGTTCATCAGGCGATGCTCAACCACTGAGCCACACTGGCTGGGCGGCTGTGAGGTTCTGAATACTGCGCTCTCCCACGGTGAATATGTTTGAAAATGTCCTATGGAGCCTGCAGCCTGAGAACATTCCATGGCCAGGAATGGAACCATGACCTCCTGGTTTATATGTCAACACTCAAAACACTGAGTGACACCCACCAAACTATATCAGGTATTTACATATTTGTTTGATGTTTCCATACTTGTCTGCATCTCTTAAACTAAATTCCTCCTGCCTTTTTCAGGGCTTCCTCAGCATAAAAAATTACTCATCAAGAATATAATCCACTGTTGTACCACCTTATTTCAAATATATCCATATTAAAAAAAAACACTTAGGAAAGCCATGTATCCTATTCTAGCCTTCCATTACTATTTGTAATCATGATGGTCATTGTATCTATCTATTCTCAGGTGATTTTTCGTAAAACTACAGATATTTGGGGCTCTGATAAAGTAACTCAGAGTATCATCTCAATAACACCTAGGTTACAAGGTGCATTCTGGGTCAGGGCACATAGAAGAATCAAACAATGAATGTACAAATTAGTGGAACGACAAATCGATGTTTCTCTCCAAATTTTTCTCACTCTCAAATCAAGGTCTTAGTGTTTTTCTCATCCAGTTAGTTAGAACATGTAAACATCAGCACAGATGAGATACCCAGTGATGAAAGAGCAGCCAGGCTTCCCTTAAGGACAGAGCACACAGTGAGGGGGAGAACAGGAGGGGAGGTGCTCTTGCTGTCAGTGTGGCTGTTAGGGACTGGTGCTGAACTGCACACTCACAGGGGACGATGACACTTGTGCTCCCTAAGGCTAAAACCTGAGGGGCTGGGAAAAGCTCTGGGCCTGGACATGCTCCTTGTGGTCTCTGCCCCTTCCAGCCAGTGGTTGAGCCTGAGCTAATTTGGATTCAGGGGGTTGAGAAGCCCAGATTCCTCTCAGGTGTCAAGCCTGGGAGCAGCAGTGGCTGCTGGGCAGGTGGGTGTGGGCAGAAAAAAACCCAGGGCAGTTGCCAGGGAGAGTTGGTGCTGGGCCATGTGTGTGGCTCTGAGGCCCTCTCTAGTCCCAGTGAAGCCTGGTGGCCGCTCTGTTCTTTGGAGCCATGGTTAGTGGGAAGTGGAGCAGGCTCTGCTGCATAAGTTCCCTGCGGGTAATGCTCTGGGAGTCAGCATGTGCAAGAAAACATGTGACCCAGGCAGGGCCAACCTCGTCCACTGTAATGAAGTGTTTCAGCCATTGCCCTGCCCAGGGAGGGAGAGGAGCTCTCTCTGCAGAGGCTGATTCCCTATCTGCCCAGCAGGAGAGTGTTGGCTGCTGAGCCACGTGGTCCTCTCCTGGGCTGCAAGTGTCTTGAAGTTTAGCCACTGAAAGAGGTTGCAGATATTTGTCAATCTAGAGAGAGAAAGTGGTCCTCATCTTTCCTTACTGGGTAAACATTCATCCTGGCCTAGACAGTGTGCTTCAATGGTAAAGGCATCAGCAGAAACACCTGAAGAGTGGAGAATTAGATTCCCTGTCAAGGGCATGTACATGGGTTGCAGGTTTAATTCCCAGACACTATTGGGGCTCATGCAGAAGTTCTCCAGTTAATATGTCTCTATTCCATGTTTCTCTCTTCCATGTTCGTGTTTCTCTCTCTCTCTCTCTCTCTCTCCAACTCCACTCTGACTAAAAATCAATGGAGAAATATCCTCCTGTGAGGATCTATACTAATAAAAGGGTAATATGATAATTAGACTGGGAGACCTCTAGCCCAGCCGTGGGCAAACTACGGCCCGCGGGCCGGAGCTGGCTGGTTCGGCTGTTCTATCCAGCCCTCGGAGCCGAAAGAGCGGAGGGTTCTCTTGCCCTCCCCTCCGCTCCTTCACCAGCAGCAGTGTTAACATGTATTAGTTCACACAAACTCTCCATCCATGCTTTTGTTCCGGCCCTCCGGTCCAGTTTAAGAACCCATTGTGGTCCTCGAGTCAAAAAGTTTGCCCACCCCTGATCTAGAATCACAGGAAGACTGGCTTAGTGGAAATTCTACA